AGGTGTTATGATTTAAACTTAGACATAAATATATATAATATATTATTATATAAATATAATATGTAATATATTGTTATATAAAAAGTTATATCTTTTTTTTCGAGCCCTTTCGAGCCGAACACGAGCGAACAAACTTTTGTTCGTGTTCGGCTCGGCTCGTTTATATTTCGAGCTAAAAATTTATTCGTGTTCCACTCATTAGACTTAACGAACGAGTCGAGCACGAGCTGCTTAACGAGTCGAACACGAACTGCTCGCGAACAACGAGCCAAATTGACAGCCATATCTGTCTTGCAGTACGGGATCGAGTGTTTAGGCACATGAGAGTGATTGAGGGCTTGTAACATAGCCTCCGGCCATTCTTTAGAAATATATATATATATATATATATATTAGGTTTCTTGTTTGCTTGGTTGGTAATATATAATTGAAAATGGAAGATTTTGAACGTACATATATGCATGCAAAATTCTTGCCTAACGCACATTTTCAAAGTTTGGTATTCGCGTCTATCCATAATATAAATACTGCTAATAAAAAATGCATCTACATTTACTTAAGAGAATTAAATTTAATTTATGTATGTTAACTAGTGCATACTTATAGTATTGCCAAAACTTTAGGCTATTTAAGAAGCTCTTTTATTAATTCCTGCAATGAGCTTTTTTTGTGTTTTATTCCAATAACCTATATGCAGCTTTCATTTATTAGTTTACATTTGACTATTTGAAATGTAACGCAACTTAAAAAGAAAATATTTATTTTCTCGCTTTTAACCAAGCTAAAATTATTTAGCGCTAATCATTTTTATATTCTACACAGACCAAGGAGTTGAGCCATGCTCCCTCCGTTGCGGAGCTGCATGTCTGAACTCGTCGATGCTTGGGAGCTACGCTGTGGGTCTCGAAGCATTCCCGGCGGGTTGTTGTAAGTTAAATACCTCAAACTAAAAGTTTAGTTTGACTCTAAGGGGTTGTTTGTATGATACTTTTAAGAGTATTTAAGTTAGATTTAACCTAAATTCAACCAAACACAATAAGTAGGTTAGATAAATCTACACTTAAGTTGAATCCAATTTTTGTTTGCTTAGTTAATTAAATCTGAATTTACTAAATCCACTTAGTAGTTGGATTTAATAGATTTAGCGCAGGAAAATAGTATTTGAAATGAGTTTTTGTCAAACTCCTCAAATGGATTTAACTAGATTTAACCTTGATTGTACCAAAAATTATTTTGGATCTAATGATATTCAGATTTAATAAATTTGGATTTAGCTGATTTACTAAATCCTATTTAACTTAAATCCTCCTTGCAGCTAAAAACTCCCTAAGCTTTGAAAGTGTCAATTAAATGTTGGTTCTCATTATGCAAGAGAAGTTCAAGCAACTTTGGGAGAGGCAATTGGCCACTCA